GAAACCTAATAAATCGTTGTGGGTGTGATAATGTATTATGACAAAATTTATTGTGACTTCGGCAAGTTTCTTAGCGAGCGTATTAAAAAAAACTTGTAACGGCTCACATTACAAATCCCTTGAACCGATATCGGAGGAAGTCAGAGGAAGCGTATTACTCCCATGTGCCCGCAGATAATAATTTCCTCTTCACCGGCCATCTTTTTTACCGCGAGCGCATCTTGCGAACGGTAAATGAAGAAAAAAAATTCATCCAGAGGAAAGAAAGAAAGAGAAAGAGAAGATAAATAGTTTTTACGTTCTAAAGCTGTGCCCTCTAAGACAAAATAAATTAAAGCAAAGATGATACAGAGAAAATTTACAAAAACTAAACAAAATTAGTTAGAAAAAAAAAACAATGAATTTTATCAAAAATAAAATAAGATAGATAGATAAAAGCATTTATTTTATGGTTCTAGGGCAGGCCCTCTAAGAATATAAAAAAAAAATACAAGATAGTAATGAACATAGGGATACAAAATAATAATGGCTGCGTTCAGCAGACTCAATAATTGAGTGAGCTCGCTGCTATTGATGTATTCTTCCAGATCTAAAATGCTGATTGAATAATCTAAAAGAATACGCCAATAACAGCGAGCGCTCACTCAACTGTTGAGTCCGCTGAACGCAGGCTTTGATCGTGAGTACAAAATAATTGACTATAAAAAGAAAAGAGTGGCATACAATAAAAAACTAAAAAGATAAAAATAAAAATTGAGAGTAGAAAATAAAATGAGACAGAGACAGAGAAAGAGAGAGAGAGAGAGAGATATTCCGTTATATTTGTCCGTGTTCTGAACTCCTTTTTTCGCCTTCGTTTCTTTATTTCTTCCGAAGAGACTCACAGAAATAATCATTCGAGAACACGAATGGGACATGACGAGAAAAGGTATAGAGGGAAGAATGAGAATTTCGGCTATACCTGCAGAACCGTGGTCGCTTCCTGCGGTGGGCATATGGCGAGAAGAGAAGAGGCCAGAAGGGATTCGGGGGTGACGGGGGTTTCCCGGAAGGTTCTCACGGTCAATAGCTTTCCCGGTGGCATGCGGCTGAAAAGCGCTCGGAGGGGCTGCCTTTCCCTCCCTCGTTCCCCGCCACAGCCCTTCGTCCTTTTCCGTCCTTGCCCGCAGGCTATATTTGTATTTGGTATTTTGTTGCTTCCCTTTTGTTCTCCGACATTTCGGAAATCGAAATAATTTTCCATTTGTCTAACTTTTCTCAAACAAATACTGTAAATGGAAAACTTACTCCATGGAGACTTTGACTCCATGAGTATCTTTGGAAAAAATGAATAACAAAAGACGAACGGTAAGAGGGAAAGAGGAAGAGCCAAATTTAAATTCGGCGACGTTATTCCGGCAGCCAATTAACGTTCGCGATCCTCGCGAAATTACTATTCGTGGCTATCAATGGAAATCGATACTGCCGTTGGCGGTTTCGGCGACAAGGATTGACCAACGCCGCTGTCGCCAGCTTCAGATAATAATTACGCGGGAAACGTCACGATACTGCGTTCATAGCAAGAAGTTATAAAGAGAGCCGTAAAGTAAACGGAAATTGGAAACCGTGTGTTGACGACTCACGCGTGTTGAGTCGACGAATGTTCCTCGACGAATCCGCAGTTTCCGATTTTGTGGAAACAAAATTTCTTCCACGAAATCTTTGGGCTTGTTTCTTAATTTTCCTGAACTGCACTAAAATTTCCCATCTCGTTTCTCAGCAAACAAGCTGACGTTATTCGTCATCATTTTGACGAAAATAACATAAAAAAAAGTTTTAGTGCAGCAATAAAAAACAAACCTGAAAGTCTCACGGAAGAAAATTTTTCCGCAAAATCGGAAACCGCAGAGTTTTATCAGATATCGAACACATAAAAAACAAACCTTTTGTTTCTAAAACCTCTTCTCCTCCCAATCGATTTGACATCGAGCAGTGAAAAAGAAATAGAATGCACGCGACAAAAAATATTTGCAATTGTAATATTTTTTTAGTCCCGAAACACAATACGTGTAATAAGTTTTTACTCTAACTTTTATTTCATAATCGATTATTCTACTCATATTCGACCGTGATTAATCCATTTTTAAAACTAATTTTTTAAAATTATTACATTGATTGTGTTTCGGGATTAATGTAATTACAGTCATATTAATATAACATTGAGAAAAAATGGTCTGATTGAATTAAATAATAATTCTGATGGAAAATGGACGAATCAGAATTTTCAGACCGGAATATAATTATTCCAGTAAAAATAAAAATTCTAGTAGATTTTACCAGAAATATTGTATTAACCAGAATTCCAGGTTATCTCAACTAGAATTCTAATAAATTTAACTAGAAATTTTTGATTCGTCCATTTTCAACCAGAAATTTTTTTCAGTGTATATTTTTATAGAAAAAAATGAAAGACAAACCTGAAAATGTTAGGATCTTCAAAATTAAAATTATTTCTAATTTGTTACCGTTAGAGATCTGCGCATTAATTTCCGAAATTGTGCGCAGATATAATCTGAGATAACTCCCAAGTAAAGCACAAGATTAAAATAAATTATCTGATTGGTCAAATTCCAATCTCAAATGCACAATCTTCACAAGGAAACGAGCTATATTGAAAAAATGATACTAAAAAACTAATGTTACTAATCGAAGAATCACATTTAAAATACTCCATAGATAGTCACTTGGGATTCTTGTAGATTCCGACTTGAGTCGGAATATTAGACTATTTTAACTTAGATATCAAATTAATTTCAAAAAAAGTTTCAAATAAAAATTGTAAAATTTGGAGAGGATTATCAGATAAACTACATAGATTTTGAGAGTCCATTTTGAGCTCAATAAAATTCAGATTAATTTTTTTCGGATGGAAAAACTTGTTTTAATGCAGATTCATAATCTATAAAAAAAAATAGCTTATCTGATAACCCTTTTCAAGTTCTACAACTTTTATTTGAAACATTTTTGTCAACAAAAATGCATTGCTCATAAGCGAATGCTCGACATTTTGGAAATTTCGAGCATTCGCTTTACGAGACAGGAAGTTCTGAAAATTTCGAGAAACTTTCGACAAAACGGACGGGAGGATGTCGCTCGTAATTTTAAGGAAGGCGATCGTTGATTCCCTTTCTCATCCGCGCATGCATCACTCTTCCTTTCCCCTTGGAATATTTGCATATTACCTCTCTCTCTCACGATTACGCGCACTTACTTCTCATTGTCTGTAACTTACTGGACCTACGCGTGTATCCGTTTACCCATCTCCATTGGCCGCCAAGGGACTCTATGTCACGGAGTGCATAACGCTTTCTTTCTCCCTTCCCTCCGCAGCCCCTCTCTTTTAACCACACACCTTCAATGCATTCTCACACACATGCGGACGCACACATTCACGCATCACGTACATATCTCATGTCGTTTTTGTTGCGTATGCATTCTCCGTACATCCGTCAAATTGGTTCGTTCGCGTTGCTTGATATCTCCCAAAATTTTTGCATTTTAAACGATATAAATGTATATTCAAGCGGAAAAAAAAGAGGAAATTCTAACTACAAAAAGTGCAAGCAACGCGAACAGATCTAATCGCGTGTATTCTGTTTTTGTGACATACTGTTGTTTTTCGGGCATTCTCGTGGCTAATATAAAGGTGGCTGGGCCACCTATAATCGGAGTAATATCAATGTAAGCTGTAAGAAATTGATCATAGATTTACTCTTCTCATAGAGTGATTGATCGTTTGATTTTTTACGCCTTACAAATTACTGTACATTATTACTCCCATAAGGTCTGTTCTTTTCAGTTAAACTTTTTTGTACCGTTCATCTTTTATCTTTTTCTTCTTCAAAGTGGATAGAAAAGAAGAAACGTGCAAAAAGTTCAGCTAAAAAAAATAGATTTATTGTAGACGATCCTTAATAACTTTCTCTCTCCCTCTCTCCTTCCTACTCTTCTCTCTCTATCTTTCTTTCTGGATGCGTTCGCTTTTGCATTTTAACTTCTAATCATTATTTCATCCTTGATGTTCCTCAAATATTAAAAAACAAGGAAAATAATGTTTACAAGCGCCGAGCGCCAAAGCAAATGCAACTCCTCTCTTTCTCTCTTTTTCTATTCTCTTATTTTTCTTAATATCTAATTTTATTTTTCTGTTAGTTTCATATCTTTTTTCCTTTTATCTTAAAATCATTCCGGTAACAGTTTCACATAGGAATATGCTTGGCTTTTAGTTCTAGAGAATGCAATCCTGGAACACATAATAGCGATTCTCTCTCTCTCTCTCTCTCTTTCTCTCCCATATCACGCACTCGCTCTTCCCGCCGAAACTTTACGGCGCCGTATTCCCGCGCCCATGAATCGTTCATTCACGCCGTGAGGGATTTTGACACAAGAAGGACGAGTGTTTATGCCGATTTGTTTATGTTTCTAGCCGACGGCAGTCGTACCGGCGTATCGCCCGTCGCGACGACGCGAGACGCGATTACGATCGCGACGGCCGCGAAAATTCAGCGTCGTCGCGAAAATAACCGTGAATCGACCAAGCTGGAGTATCGGCGACAAACGCGAGAGAAGCGAAGGCGATTATTTTTCCTCCGATCTCGCGCGCGAGGAGAACATTCACCCAAAACAGAGTCGCGCACAGATCGAGAGAGAGAGAGAGAGAGAGAGAGAGAGAGAGAGAGACGCAAACGGGTGAGCGAGAAAAGGAGAAAAAAACAACATTGTCGATCTCGCTCGTCGTGTCCGACTCATTCCGATATATCTCATTTCTTCTGACAGAACAGAAGAGCGAAGAGGAGGAAGAGGAGGAGCGCGCGCGCGCGATCGAGAGCCTGCGAGAGACGGGACGAGACGGAATGGATGGATGGATGGAACGGGACGAGACAAGGCGAGACACATAGGCAACAACACTTTTTCACGGAGCAATATTTACGCGGCGCGCGATATAATGGCGCCAGACCTACCGTATATCGATACTGCGCGTCCAACGTTTTCCGAATCACACTGTCTTGTCCGCGTCCGGCAGCACTTTCACACATATATTTACGGCGGCGAGTCGCAGTCGAAAATTTTCGGCGCAGCGACCATGTATAAACCGTACACCGACACGGGTCCCCCTTGACGGAACTGAGGCAACGTTGGTTGACACGAGCTAGCCCGTGAACAAAGACCAAAAGATTTCAAATCCCGCCGCGCCGATTGGCCAGCCACGGTCACGTGGCTCGGGCGCTCGGCCTCTTATTGGCCGACTGCCACGGGGGTGCGAGGACGTTTTGAACGATGCGCCGCAATGCACATGGCTGACAAAGACGAGACTTCCCGCGGGGGAGTCGAGCAGACACAGGATCGCGCGATCGCGCCCCTGATTATCGTTTTGTCACTGATGAATTAAGAATTCTCGACGGATTTCCGTTGATCGGAACACACACGATGACGCGGCGATGAAGTGAACGTGGCTTCAGCGCGCACTCCGGTCTCTCCCTAACCTTCCTCACTCGAAAAATGGCCGAACCCAAAACAACACCGCGCGCGCGGAAAGACACTGACTCGCGATGATGGCACGATGTTCCCGCGACGTATTTCTCAGCCGTCCGTGCGACACCACGCGATTTTTCCACCGTTCACTACGCAACGCGCGCCAACGCCGTGCTCGTTCGCGAGTTCTGTCTCGCGAGCGCGGCGAATAATCGCCGTGCCGTGAACGAGATTGAAAACGACGGGCGAGTCCATTGCGGCCACTACGGAGGGGAGTCGGGCAGCTGCCCGGGTAAGAATGAAACACTACGCAGCGCCGATAATGGCGGCGGATGTGTTAAC